AATGAACATCTAAGAGGATAAACATTGAGGAGACATTACGAAATCAGAGAAAGCGAGTCAATGGGTTGTTCAGCATTTTCTTATTATTAAGGCCAATGGTCACGTGGTTTTTGTTGATTTCATCAATCTGATCGTCATCGTCAAAACAAATCATCCAGTAGTGTATCCAGAATTTTTTTCTAGGTGGATCGTGATCATATTTTTTTGGACAGGAAACTCGATTACAGCGCCACCAGCTAATTGTGACAGGCTCAGTTTCAGAATTACTGGAGTTGAGATAGATTACGTCACGCAATTGGCAAGGTCTTTAAACTCATTGCTGGTACCTCATCAAAAATGTGGACCTTTCAAATTGTTTTTGTTGGGGGAGGGGGGCGGTCGTACGACCTTTCCCGACACCCCCTTGCATACACCCATGTCATCGTGACTTATATGGTGATGATGAGGAAGGTGGATGATGGTAAGTGGAAAAATGAAGATATAAGAAAGGCAACAAAGATTAAAGATGTCTGAAAAACTGTCTAGGCCTGTAACAACGTGGGAGTGGGCAGGCCGCTCGCATGGACCATAACGAGTGGGCCAAAAAGTTAACAGTATGGACGCCATACGGACACAAACGAAAAAGAGGAAGACCTAACAAAAGATAGAGTGATCTTTTCCAGAAGGCGCTTAGTGCGAACTGGATAAATCTGGCAAAGAACAGATCAAGAATGGAGTTTGATGAGGCATGTCGGCCAGCATGCAGTGGTCTGACAGGCTGATGATGATGATGACGATGGTGATTATGATGATGACGATGAGGAAGATTGATTGTGACAACAATTACACAAACACAACAACAGACTAATAATAATAATAATAATAATAATAAATAAATTAATTAGAATAATATCGCGCCTTGCGCCAAAATTATTATGAAAGGCTCAGAAAGGCTATAATCACTACCGGTACTTTTTAAAATAATAAAGCCTAATTTTAATCTTCATTGTCGTCAACATTGCCAGAGTCGTCCATAATCATCATCATCACCGCAATCAACTATCGTCCTCCGTTTTAATACTAATAATGATCACAACCACAATGAACATTAATATCTGTATCATTTGTCTTCGTATCAGGATGATAATATACAGATGCCTGCTTTACACAGAATCAGTCTAATGAAATAATGTTCCCCGTATTAATAAGCAAACAGAATGATGCCGAGCAACATGATTTGCAATAGGTTATTAGGGTACGATGTCGGTGGTCGCAGTCAAGTAATTAGTAGTGACGGAATAACGAAGACATCGCCTACATCCTATACCACAAAGCGTTTCAAAGGGACGGCACCTTTTTACAGCAGGATATCATTACACGCCAGATGAGCGGACCTACCACGCTCATGCATCGCGGCAATTGTAATTTCACGAGTAATGATAAATAATAACAACGAGTTAATATTGGTAATGGTGAATTCAATTTATAACTTAATTGAATTCTAGATTGGTATAATTTATTGCCTAAGCCTTTTTTTTGTTGTGTTGTCTCCAAGGTCTGTTGTGGTTTATCAAGAGGATAGGGGGAAGGGGAACTTCCCTTGTTCGTTGTCTACTGAAAATGAGGTTGTTAATAAGAAAGAAGAACTTCCCCGGGGAAGTCTCCTGTGTTTCGCTGTGTACTGAAAACGAGGCTGTTAAAGATATTTTTTATTCAACAATACTGTACTGCCTAATATATAGATCTAATATTAATTAATAATAGTATTATATAGGCCTAATTAGTAATAATATATAGTGTATGCTAACAATTATGGCTAATAACAATAATATAAAATAATGAAAATATTATTAATAAAGAGACAGTCACAAGTTGGAAGCGATCTGTTTAAATAAACTTTCTTAGCATTTATTTAATGCTCTTGTATTATATTTGATTTCATCAATCAAAATACAAAATCTATCAGGGTTTATCATCCATCACCACTCTGTTGTAGTCTTATACCCAGTAGCAGTGCCAGTGGGGAAAAGCAGGGGCTTAAGTCCCCCCACCAGACAGGTCAAGACCCCCCCCCCCCATTGGACAGAGCTCGTCGGGCAGTCGGACTAAAACATATATAAAAATAGGCCCACGCCAAGCCAACACATGTCTATCACAATCAGGGAATGTCATTTCTGCCGTCCAGAGGTTCCTAATCTTAAAAAAACTCTCAAAACCTTCCCCCAGCTCTGGCCTACCAGCCCAAGTCCCCTTGTCAGACAGCTCAGACCCCCATAAAATATATCCTAGAGCCGCTACCGGGCCCATTCGCTTTGTATGCAACGATTTTGAGTGAGAAAATGTGGTGGACAGGGAAAAAAGTTTGTTTTCTTTCCTCCATGGTCAAAATCCATTTAAAATGGCCCAGGGGCGCCGAAGACCCCACAAATATGGCAATTTAGGGGTTTCAAAGGTTTATATAATCAATTTTAGAGTCTATTAATATGTTGCATATACTTTTTTCTCCCTGACGACTCAGTGATTTTTCTCCCCGACCGGGGGGGGGGGGGCTGTATCCTCCTGGTCCCCACGTAGCGCCGCCTCTGATAGTACGGTAAGCGAGCGCTGACACACAAATCGGGCCTGCTTTTTTGAATCAAAGGAAAAGTCCCCATACTCGATAATAGGCGAACGCATGTATCGTCACGTTCTGGTGTAAGGACCGATAATAGTACAAGTGAAAGGTCAATCTTAAAAAGCGATAAATATCTGATTACATTATTATATAAGTTAAACAGAACATATATAGCATACACAAGTTGTGTCGGTAGATAGTCTAGCTTGCATTTCTAATATATAGGTAAAGGTCAAGTTCATGTCTAATGCGGGAAACGTTAAATAAAAACATGCGACTTTAATAACTGACCAATCAGAACATGTTATTCAACAAGCAATAATACGCGCATGTCCCACAAATACGTATACGTACGTTTTCTGGGATCTTCGCAATAATATCGAGGTGGGGTAGCTAGCAATTGGGGGACGTCGTCGGTTTAGCCTGTCTGTTAGAGTTAAAAACTTGAAATTCGATGCATTGCAACTTTGTACCTGATCGATATTTAGATTTAAAAAAAAAAAAAAAAAAAATGTTCACTGGTTTACAAATATCAGAAATGCTATTATAGTCATTTTGTATCTGTCTATGCTACAGGATTACGGACAATGTTTTAACATGAGGGTACACTGCTTACCGGTACCATACAGCAGGGGCCTTTTCCGGCAGTTACGGCCCTATATGTCAGTTCCGTTACGACGAGGACACAAGCAGTGGCGGCGTGCTACTGCCAGAAAATTGTTTTGCCCTCCCCCAGTTCCCCCAACCCTACAAAAACAATGAAAAAAAACCGCAATACGTCGGGGAGAAATAAAATATATGTAGGCCTGTTCATACATAATTGGTACGGTAGTCTATAAAATCGATTAAAAAGCCTCTGAAACCACTCAATTGTCATATTTTCGGACCACATTTTGAAACATATTAATCGATGCCCGACCTCGCCCATTCTGCTCTCTTCTGAAACCTTGCACC